AATTTATTTATCGGTTTGTGCATCAACAAATTCATTCACTTGACGCAGAACAAAGGAATGGCCACTCTTCCAATTCGTCCTCTTCCTTAGATTATATATTCAGAAATGGTGACTATGTGGTATGTTCTTAATTTCCTTATTCTTTGCAAGTGATTATTGCTGTGCACTTTCCATTTATGACATTCATAATTCTAGAGGTACTTATTTACCATCATAAAAATTATGTAAACTTGTAAAGGTACACTGCTGAAACTGAAAGGCTTAAAAAGTTGGTGCACCTCCTAGGATTTCTGTTTGTTGTTGCTCTCAATTATCTGGAATTTAGTGTTGAACTCTGAATGAAATAAAAATATGACAGTATGGCTACAGTGACCACCTTTTCGTTTATTTGGTACTACTCAACTGCTTTTGGAATTTATGAACAAATTACAATCATGTTGATCATGGATACATATTGCATCTTGCCAGAAAACAGTAATGCTATTATCTCTTAGTCTCAATGGCTTAGCATTCATCAGAGTGTTCTTCTACACTACCTCATATTCTCACAGTTCTATGGTAAATGGTTTTACGAATCCAACTTCACAGTTGGCATGTATGATGTATCTGCCATATTCACTCTATTTTCTGTGCACAGGGTTGGTACTAATTTGCATTTTATGATTGTTTATGCCTCAGCTATGAGAGTTAGCTTTTTTCCTTCTTTTTTTTTTATGCAAATATCTCATTTAATCTTTCGTAGGTATTAAGCACAGAACCTGGTCATCTACGAGTGTCTAATGGAGTCATTGTAGACATTGGTAACTCCCATGTTTCTGTAAGTACTTACAGCCTGATACTTAACTAGTTATCCACCCATGCGAAACTCACAAGGGCAATAAAATTGAAAGATTACCCATTGATGATAGTTAATATATCTTCATATAAAAGAATAAATCAATTACTTGTAATAAAAGCCAAAAAGATGAAGAACTAAAAAAATGATAAGAGTATCAATTATAATTTATAACACCCAATATTGTAAAGTAATAAGCCTCTATATCTGATCCTTTTTCTTTCTGAAGGTTTCTTTTGCAAAGCGATTAAGACTTCCTTGGCATAATCCTGGGTCAATGTCAGAAGCTCTCCGTCAACAATCCTGGAGAATAGACAAAGATGAAATTATGTCATCATTTGCAATTATGAGGTCAGCCTTCTTAAAATCTCTTTTGTTTTTCTTTAGTTGGTCTCTGCTAACGCTTCATGGCACAGAAAGGAAAAGGTAATTATAGGAAAATGATGTATATGACGCTTGTCCTTCACTAGGTACAATCTTATTCAACTCTTTTTGCAAGATGAAAATAGTTCTCATCTGAGGAAGTTGATTGTTGATCTTGAGGTGAGTTATCCTGCATTTTGAGGCCCTCTCTTCAGTTCTCTTTGAAAATCACTCAGCACCGATTTGCACTTGTTAACTTCTGCATTCGTTGCAGATGCCTAGATTTGACAGTGGCTGCATATTTAGTCAGGATCCTGCTATTTCATATGTCTGGTCCGAGAAAAGTTTAAATGAAGATCAAAGAAGAGCAATACTCAAGGTCATTTTTTTTCCCGTTCTTTTCTTTTCAGCCTAATCTTGATTTGCTGGTATATAACTGCGACTGAATGTAATTTCTCCATTCATTTGAAAGTCAAACACACTATAGCTATCAATCCCTGAAGGAGAAGCAATTTTGTTCTGGCTTGCTACTTGCTGATAATGCTCGTGCCTAGTTCTTTTCAGATACTCACAGCTAAAGATTATGCCCTCGTTCTCGGAATGCCTGGGACAGGCAAGACATCCACAATGGTGCATGCCGTGAAGGCACTATTGATGAGAGGTTCATCCATTTTGCTGACATCCTACACAAACTCAGCTGTTGACAACTTACTAATCAAGTTGAAAGCTCAGGTCGTTGTTTATCATTATTGCATCTTTTGACCATCATGAGATTCCAAAGACCATAAAGCTTTTGAAATTTTAATTATTGATGATCACACTATTGATATCAAGTTTTACTTCAGAGTCGGCTTTCCATAGCCTATTAACATAAAATATTGTAGTTGGTGTTGCTATCATAGTTTTTCCACATTAAGCAGCTTCTAGGCTGCTATAACATATATTTATTTTATCTATTCTTTCTTTTGTTTGTTGATGCATGTTTCTTAAGGTTCTGTAGCATGATTAGCTCCGAACTTCTGCAGGGCATAGATTTTATAAGACTCGGTAGATATGAAGCTGTACATGAGGAAATTCGAGAAAATTCCTTATCAGGTTTGATAATTGGTTCTTGATAACTGTCCTTTTATCAAGCTGCATTGTTTAAATGATTTAACCAACTTTGTGGCTGCAGTAATGAATATGAATAGCACTCTAGAGATTGAGGAAAAGCTGGATAAAATTAATGTTGTTGCAGTCACTTGCTTGGGGATAACTAGTCCGTTACTAAGTAGGAAGAAATTTGATGTGTGCATCATGGATGAAGCAGGGCAGATAACTCTACCGGTATGGTTACCTTATCCACAAATGTATATGACGTGTATATACTCATTTGTTGCTATATTAAGTTATCGCATTAAAAAATTTTTGCTTAGAAATCAAATTGCATATGTGAGCGTTCCCCGTTCTATTTAATGTTTCATGTGCTTACTTTAATGCGGTGATTTCATCGATATATTAGATAGATTGAATTTATATTTCTGAGACCTAGCTGAAGAGTATGAACCATAGCATAGCACTGGGTGATAAGAAGCACATCATTTTGTTTTTAATTTTAAAATGGCAAAAACATAAAGTCTGCATGTTTCTATTTTTTTATATGGTGCTGCTTTTGCCTGGTTTTCTCCTTTGAGTGGAGTTTTTGC